CATGTTTGGTGTGAGGGGGATTCGAACCCGCGACCCTCAGATTGCGAGTCGAGTGCCCTAACCACCTGGCCATGTACTACTATTGGAAAGCAACAACAAAAGAAGTTCTCAGCACAGCTAAATAACTTAGCAGTGATTGATCAGAAAAATCGAGAAAAATACCTTTTTGATCGTTGTTTTATGTGTTACAAAATTTTCAAGTAATTTGTACTATAGGTGTTAATTAAACAAGATGAATGGATTGCACTAAATGATAAGAGATAAGTATATATTTCTGATCGGCTATTTGCGCAAAGCTAACCAAGGGCTATGTGCTTTAGTCGTCTGCGATAGATTACAGGAAAGGCATCTAGTGAACAGTATTCGACGTCAACTCTTGGACTTCTCTTGTCTGACCGTTACCCTTATAACACAACTACAGCCCCAAAGTACAAAGCACGAATTTTTTTATTTTTATTTTTGCAGTAACGGGGTGCAAACACTGGACTCGTAAATTCATAGTTGCTGTAAAAGGTGCCGATCTTATTGAAAAGAAGAACAGCTAGAAATCTCAACTAGTCTAAGAGGAAAATCGTTGCATGCGTTACCTTGGATAAAAACGTTTTTTTAGGCTCGTTTATACCATTTACACGTTATGCTTGTAAACCCTAATCATGACGAACCAGTTTTCCTCATCGGAGTATTTTATTTAGGTTTAGTTAATTTATAGAAATAAAGAATAAATAAATAACTTCTCATAGCTTTCGAAAAAGTGGGAGGGCTGTTTTGCCAAAGAGTCTCTTTTAATTTATCTGTTTGTTACCTTCGCCACCAAAAGTCGACTGAGGTTATGTTTTCACCTCTGTGTGTGTGTGTTTGTCAGCAAGATTTATTGAAAACGGCTAAATGGATTTGGACGAAAATTGGTATAAATCTGGACTATGACCAAATTTAGAAGTAATTAGTTTGAAGGGTCAAGGAAATCCAAACAATTCCTATCAATTAACATGGAGACCGATTTTGCGCACAGTAAAAAATTATCGGATTTTGATGAAACTTGGTGAACTTATGTAGAATGTTATTCCTCATTGTCCTGCCAAAAATGGTCTGTGTCCGTCGATAACGACGGAGATATGAACACATTTGTCCTAGCCGTCTCTAATTTTGAACTGATAGACAATGAGAATGGCAGTTAGTAAACAGCACCAATTTTCAACTCTTTGGCTACTCTAATCGAATAGTGGGATTTTAACAGTCACTCTTATAACATATCCACTGCCACAAAGTGCGGAGCGCGATTTTGTGGGAAAATAAAGCGAACTAGTACAGTATAGCATGCCAACTATTAGGCTATGCTTGGCCCAAGAGTATATATATAACAGATTCAATAAATTACTGGAAATAATAGAAAAAATAGGTTTAAAACATAGTTTCGTTCGTTTTTATTTGGAAATAAAGCATATCGGCAAATCATATAAAAATAAACTCTTATTTTAATGTAAAAGTTTGATATGCGCCGCTAGTGGGTACTGGAATCACAAATCCTAACCATTACCGTGAAAAGGTGCCATTTATTGAACAATAACCTACTTGTTTATGACCTGATCACTTACTGATGCAGTTAACCAGACGATAAGAACAATATTTCTATTTCTCCAACTAATGTGAAAAATAGTTCAACAAGGTCTTTGTATAGTTACGAGAAATATACAGATAATGTAGTTATACCTAGCGTCACGATCAGAACTAGAATCCGGAGTTTCTGTAGGTTTTCGAAGATGCTCGAAGTCGTCGCTTCTTTCCCAGCTATCCGTATCGCTGCTGAGAATTGTAAAGGAACTTTGGTCTTGTTCCGTGCCCCCAGTCGAATTGGTATTGGGATCGTTACTTAGGCTGCCATTGGAATCTCCAGAATCTGGTTTTGGCCGTTCGGGCACTAACAGAGAGAATGATTTGAAAGTTTATTAACTTAATTTTAACATATGGTGATAGCGTAGAAAAAAAAATCAAGACAAAGATGATGATACTGATATTCTTAAACTCTAAATGTGACAGAAAAAAATTCGATCCAGAAGTTAAGACGAAGTGAAATTATATAAAATCTTTAGATATGTACTGTGTTTATTAAAGGAAAATAGACAAAATCCTGTTAACTGAAGAGAATAAAAACTATTATTTTTCGCAGCCTTTCAACTAAATGGGCGGCAAATTAGAACATGAATAGAAAATGGACGAGTAGGTGAAAACAATTAAATTTTTATCGTCATCCAAATTAAAGAAAGAACTAAGTGTAAAAGTGTATTGAGCACAACTTAGTTTTATCTATCTTTTTGGCATTAGATAAACTGAACACTTAAAAGTACGTAAAATTAGGGTAAAGGACTTACAATTTTTAATCTTTAATATAAACTGTTGTCTGAAACTGAACTAAATACAAAATTAAAGTCAAGAAACATTGTAATAGCACGTTATCAAAAACTGGAAGATGTTTGAACCTGTAAAACATAATGTTGTGTAGGTATTAAGATTGTAATAATCATTTTAATATAAATATTTACGGATGGTAACTTTTAGAAAAAAAAATATTAATATGAATAATGAATAAGGACAATGTATTCAAACCTTGAATGAAATTATTAGGAGGTTACTGAAAGTAATGCAAGGATACTTACTTTGTTGAGTGTTACCACCTCCTTTGAAAAGACCCATTAAGCCAATTAGGATAATACGTATAGTGGTATAGAAGCACTTCAGTGCTCTTCTCAAACAACGTGACGACCGCAGGATCACGTTCAGAGGATATCAAATACAACTCGAATATGAGAGATCAGAAAATGTTAAAGTCTCAACACTTTAGCTATTTCAAAAACAATAAAGCGAGTAGAAAACAGGTACTTTAGGTTAAACATTCAGTGACAAACCAACTATTGGTTCTATCCACTGTGTTTCTCTTCAATGTCTTCTTTTTAAACTACTTTTAACCAGTAACGCAGCAGAAATCCCCTTTCAATATTTAATTATATCCACTGACATCAAAAGTGTGTGCCAGAAAGGTGGAGTAGATACACTTACCTTATATCGTGCTCTCAAACACGGAAAAACTTCTCACTCACTCGTATTAAAATGCAGCGACGCGTTTGTTGTTTTTGTTTCCTGAGTTGGGAAAATTACTCAAGGCCAACTAAGCAGGAAAATCTCACCTAAAACTGTCGAACTCGAACAAGGGGCAACAAAACCTGTACAGTTTGTCTATAAGCTTGCAATGTCATAAAACACACAAAAGTTCAAATATATGTAGGATTTGAGGACATAAAGTGTTTACTGAAGATAATACGCTGTAACCTGTAAATGTCTAAACTAATTATCTTCAGTTAAAAAAAAGAAAAAACTTTGCTGGATTTCATCTTGCACAGCCTGTAAAAATTTCTCACATTTTAATGCTTACAAATATGTTAATAACACTAAATTTGCGCTTGTTGTGTATTCTCACAGTCGAATTTAATGATTTTAACCTTAATCATACATATACTAACTGATGTATCCGTTTCAATGCATGGAGGGACAAAAGGGCTTCCGGGGATAACATAGAGGTCAGATCCGAACGAGGATTTCCCTATTAACTTCCCGAGGGACAGTAATGGTGCATGTGAAGTTTGGTGAAGCTCAATATAACAGCATAGGGAGCACATAAAGGCCCCCGGGGGTGAGACAGAGGGGTTGCATCCGAACGCGGACTCCCTTATATCACTCTCTGGAAATTCTTTAGGAAACATGCAAGGTTTGATAATAATTAGTCCAACAGTTTACCATTTATAAGCGGACTCACACGCAGACAGACGTTTGTTAAAAAATGGATTTTATAAATGTATGTGTTGTAACGAATTTGTTATTATATATTTATTTGAATATCAACGTTTGTTTAGAATAAATTTAATTTTAGAAACATACATAGCTTATACTGTTAAATATGTACTGCGAAACTCCCGCCAATTCTCCAAAGTTGTAGA